CTCATAGTAGCTTCATCTGGTCTGTTCCTGTTTGGCTGTGACTCCATCCTGGAGAGAAATATCAGCTGTGCTGCTGCCATCAACACCTTTGGTTATAGATGTTGGAGATCTGCCTGTTTTCCAGTGTAGTCCTGTTTCTCTGACTGTGACTAACTGGATGTGAAAATTTTGAATCAATCTGACTGGATGATCTGGTGAACTGGAAAGAGCCTTGAGATGATATGTGTTGTGAACTGGTGCTATGTAAATAAACTGAATTAAAGCAGTGAATGCACTGACTTTGAAAAAGACAATATTTCAGAGTAATTGAGACATTTTGGCTCTAAAGCCAGCATAAGACATCCCACCTGACCTTTTACCAAATAGTTTGGAGAGCTCTATTGAAGCGGATGTTTGTTTGGAGATAAAGGAGATGTCAGCAGGAAATTATCTCACCTTAACTGATATGGGCTTACTATGGAGTACGTTCAGAGCAAAACATGATAAAGATTGTTGACATAAATGTTAACCAGAAGTACAGTACAGAGTGACCAGAAGCAGAATAACCCTGGGCAGATATGGAGACATGTCTTATCTCAATGAGCGAACGCCAGAAACATGAGATGCAAGTTTTACTCTCAAACATATTTAACAAATATATAAAAATAGCACATAAAAAACCTCCAGAGGAGGTGATTATTATCAAGAAATGTGAAAAATTCAGCAGGTTTTCCATTAAATAGCATTTCCATCCACCTGTGTGTGATCTGTGAGTAATCCATACCTTAACTTATTAACATACCTTTACATTTACTTCATAAATACAATTTAATTACAGTAATCATTACATTTATCCAAATTCATTTTATAGTTATTTACACTTTATCTGGTTAAAAATGCTGTTTACTTTCAAACTAATGGCAGCTAACAACAGCTGGCTTCCTTCCCATCTCCACCAGTATTGAGTGCAGGGTGTCCCTCCTCACACACCAAATCATCCATGGACATGCCCCCCCCCCCATATGATTGGCCAAATTTAGGTGTTCAGGCTGACCTATAACTAACTGGCCTGCATAAGATTACGGGGGAAAAAAACACAGATTTTTAAGACAGGATTTTTTTTTAAATAGAAATTTTCTTAATTTTGGGACAATATTTTGAGATAATATAAGAGTAGATTTATATACATGTTTAAGCCGGAATTATTTGACATTTAAATATGACTTTCCTACGACTTTAGGTCTCCTTTAGACATTTTTCTCTATTATTATAGTATTATTATTATTAAGTATTATTATTAATTATTTTGCCAATCAATAAATCTGTTGATTATATTTTCCAATTAATCGATTAATAATCAGATAGCCAAAGCTTCCTTAAAGAAAACTTTTTTTTTTCTATTTTTTTTTATGAAACCAGTTAAAACTAAAACTTTTCCACTTTTCCCATGTTGTAAGAAAAAAAATATTTTTTATCCTAAATGCAAAACTTTATATATTTTTTTTACAATCTTGGTATAATTGCTGCTCTAAGTGGGTGACTCTGTCAGCTAAAGGCATGTTTTACAGTCTCTATACTCCAGGTAACGGTTAATCGATTACTAAATTAGTTTGACGATTATTTCAATAATCGATTACTTTTTCAGTCTTAGTTTTCACACTGGAGGTATTTGTGAGAAATCTAAGAGGGAATTTCTACCAATAAGTTGGTTGGACTTACTCTGGCCTTCAGATGTTGGATCCTCCCTCCAACACAACAGGATCCTCCATCGCTTCTCCTGGAAACAAACGTCAAATATGAGAATGGACTCACCTACAGCTACACCACAGCTCTGTTTGCATTGATGCTGGTTACCTGGGATCCACATTCCTGAAAAAGCTACTGAGGGCCTCGTCGTACTGTCCCTTCTAAGGAAGACAAAGGATGTTAGAATGAGGCATCCAAACACGAGTCGTTGGATTCCCTTTAGAGAACAGGTCTGCTTTCTAAAGCTAAAGGTCCTGTTCTGACCTACAGGCTTTGCTGAAGTGCAGAGTTACTCAGCTGAAAGGGATGGAGGCAAAGGATTGAAGTTATTTTGACCAAAAAAGAAAAACAGAAACGATCAACAGGAAACTTTGAAATTGATTCATCACAAAGGTTAAAACCAAATATATATCTGATTATCTAGAGTCAACTGAGAATCCCAGAGGGAAGAAGAAATGCTGCTGAAAGGAATGAGGCTTATTTAAGGAAAACATAATTACCTGAAAAACAAAGAATCACGAAATGGATGAAAATTGGTTTATTGAATCTGCCTAAGGAGAAAAGTCAGTCCAAGACTGTCCTGCAGAGAAATGGAGCTTCCACTGAAAGTATAGGTATAGCTGTTCAGTGGTTGGTCTCTCAAGATGCATTAAGGGCAGATTATACTTCTCCAACTGAAACACCTTAAATGTCGCTTGGGTCTGGACGAAACCAGTTTTGCTGGTATGCTTCTGCACCGTCGGTCTGGAATTTCTAAGGATGCACAGAAGTTTCCAGCAAAAAGGGCAAGGGGGAGCCTATTCAAGAACTCACGAGAACTTCGGCGGCGATCCATCAGGACTGATTCTATTTCCACTTTTTTATCAGGTTGTGTAAAAAGGACCAGTTTGGTTTTCCGTCAGCAGAGTTGGAGCGTCATCATTAGTCTTGATAAATGTTAAATTCAATTCATGGTTGGTTTCCCTGATCGATTGCAGGCATACAGTCAATTTAACCTTGCTGGGGCGTGCTTTGGTGGTGCAGTGGTTAGTGCACACGACCCATGTAAGGAGGCGTTAGTCCTGAACGTGCCGACCCGGGTTTCAATCCGACCTGTGGTCCTTTGCTGCAAGTCTCTCCCCCTCTGTCATAGCCCCTTTCCTATCAGACAACTGTCTAGAAGAACGAGCCAGTAATGTTGTCAAAACAAAAAAAAGCAACCATTTGTCACATCTTTTGAGGTTTAATTCAATTAACATAGTAAAAAAAAAAAAAAACACATTCTCAAAGTGTTTGCAGCAAATGTCCTTATTGGTTCCATCACCTCCAGAGAGTTTTCATTACATGCAGAGCAGCTGAACAGAGCACAGCAAAGACCTCTGCCTTATAGTGCATCTTCTATGGAAGTAAATTTACTGAACTAATTGACTGAAGTTTGGGTGCAGTTCACACATAAGGGAAGCTGCTAATGTGCAACAGTAAGGAATGAACTTTGTTCCATTGCTGTTGCAAAGACCATATAAAGTCTGGCACCACTCGGGAGAATTCGGAAATGCAACGGTTTGAACAGCCGTTTCCCTATGACCTTTAAGGTGGAATGTTACAGCGACATCGTCTGACAGCTGCTGGCTCTAACCCCCTGCTTGGTGCATCATTATCCTGCACTGTCTGCTGATGGGGCTGTCAGTAAGCCCCATTGGAGACTGGCTAGGCTACTCCAGAACCCCGATATGTTTCGTACAGAGCCACTCCTTGGTTATCCTGGCTGTGTGCTTTGGGTAATTTCCATGTTGGAAGACCCAGCCTCCACCTGTCTCCAATGCTCTAACGGATGGACACACGGCCCCCTCATCATTCTCTCCTTAATACAGGGCAGTCGACCTGTCCAATGTGCAGAAAAACACCCCCCAAAGCATGATGCGTCCACCCCCATGCTTCACAGTAGGGATGGTGCATTCTTCTTCCTCCGAGTGGAATCAAGACCAAAAAGTCCTTCTTCCATGACTCCTCTGGATCGTCCCATCGGCCGTGGGCAAAGTTAAGACGGACCTGGACTGATTTAAAGAGCGGAACCTTCTGTACCATGTATGATTTTAAACCATGGAGTCTTATGACTAACAGTAACCTTGGAAACAGCACAACACCACAATGAAATACAAAAAACAAGCATAAAAACCCAGATAAATAAGTCCACAAACTAGATAATAATACTGTATACTATGTGCAAAATGAGATGGAGGTAAAGAAAAAAAAGGATGCTTGGAAAACACATTGTGAAACATTGTGCTGCTGTGATCATTGTCACCTTGATGGAAGGAGTAAAGTCGTTGTGCACAGGTGCCGGTTTGACCTTCCTCAGTCCTTCAGTCAGCACACAGTCTGCTGCCTTATTACTGCATGTCTGATGGCAGCTTACAGCACATTTCTGGACGACCATTTAGGCTACATCTATCATACTGGGAAATATTGCATAGATGTGTTCACCTCAATGCAGCCTGCTTGTATGCATATAGATCACATATGTCAAAGTCAATTGTTTATCCACAGCCCCCTGGATGATATTTAATTACCATCAGAACCGGCCCACAGGCCACCGCCGCTGGTGTGCTCTGCTGTGACTTTGCGGGCTACCGTTGAATTGGTTTCCTCATGATTGTGTTTTTCTTTTATTTAAATTTTTTTGTTGTGCTTTGCATGTTTGGATTGTTTTGGTTTTTGCCTTTCCCCCTTTAACAATCTGGGCTGAACTCAGTCGTCTAAGGAGGCGGAGTCCACTAACTTCACTCCGCAACTGCTGCGCGCAGGAGTCAGCAGAGGCTGATTGAAGCCAAATTTAAAGGAGCCTGGAGGGAGGAGCGGTGCTGATGCTGCAGGTGATGGAGACACGCTGCTGAGCGAGAGGCAGGTGGGATCCGCACAATACTCTGATGGAGATGGAGCTCTGCTTACAGGTGATTATTAATATAATAAAAGTTTATTAATAATATTTATATTCATATTTTATTTTTAATAAACAATGTGTTAGGTCATGGTTTAATAGGCTATGTTCATTTCAATATGTTTTTATAAACATTTAACCACTCCAGACCTCAGATTATAGCTAATTTGTTTTTTTGGTCCTCGGTGTATTTGACTGTGACATCCCTGATATAGTGTACTCCTATATGACTGCACATAATCTTGTTTAGTGAGTATTTATACACATTTTTGAGATATTTTTATGTTTTCAGGATACTAATGTTTGGTTCCTCTTTACAGAGGTGGATAATCCAAGTCCAGTTTTCCCTTCACACGCTTTATTTAAACAGGTGAGCAGCCCCTGAAGTCTGTGTTGTTCATACAACTATGCACAACACAGACTATTCTAACAATGGCCTGAGATAGAGGTTAATGTGTTCCCTGTTTCAGCTCTCTCTGTCATCTTCTCTGCTGCAGTCACTCCGTCTTTAGAGGCTCTTCTAGTAATGCTTCATGGATAACTTCAACCTTAGTGAGGTTAAACCTCTGATCTCTATTCATTGACTGGATTGCTGATTCCTGAAAAAAGTGAAGCCACCTTCCGCCATCTTGGTACTCCCCACTCCCATGGAGATGTGCAGTGAAACTGCCTATATGTGAAGCATTTGGCTGCAAAAACAGTTTGTCTGCTGTGGGAAGACGTTCCACAGGTAATTTCACTGTCAGTGTGTGCATATGTTCTTAAATGTATAGTTTTTTTTTCAAATGATCAGATTCTTGTTGTAACTAAGAGCAAAAAGCAAAATATGAGTTTGATGTTCCTGTTACTTTACTAATTTATGTGATTTTTTTAGGGTAGAAACTGAAACTTTAGTTATTTAATTGGTTCATTAGTTTAGCTTTTTTGTAAATGTATGTTAGATTTAAAGGCTGATGCACAGACACAGGGTAAAAGTATACAGCATCATGCAAATAGTAAAATACTATAGCATTAACAGACATGTGCTTGTACTGTAATTTGGTCTTTATGTGAAATCTTAAAATTATATGCAAGATGTAATAATAACAATGTCATCATTACATGTGCATCATCAATTTAGCACTTTCAGCACATCTGTATTATTCTGCTCCATTAACACTTTAATTCTATTGTAATGGATTTGTATAATATGTTATATTACAAGATTTAGAGACTTTGACCTCATAACTATGCGATGTGATCAGCCTATTTTATTTATTATAAGTTAATCTACTGATGATATAAAACAGCCAGTGTGTGTCAAAGTGATAAATTTATCTTTATTATAAAAGTCTTAACCCTCCCTGAAAATGAGAAAATCATTGTTCAATGCCATTGTTTACATTGCAACCACTCTAACTAGGGAGTACCAATATGGCGGCCGGTGGCTTCACTTCAACTCCGTACCACCAACGAGCAATCAGCAATCCAGTGAATAGAGATCAGTGGGTCAAACCGTTTAGTTTCAGGGTTCTTTGGCCCTGTTCGAATTCATGCGCTGCGTCCTCAGAAGGCCAGATTCGAAGGAAGATTACGTCATAGCGCGGCACCGAGGTCTGTTCGGATTCCAAGACTCCTCGTTACGCGGCCTTAAAATGAGTCCTTCTTTTTGCCCGATTTGAAGGACAGGTCTGATGTATCCTCTCTATCCTTGGATAATCCAGGATTCACTGCGAGTCCAAGCAAGTCGGCTGCTCCGTGATCAGAGGAAAGGTTGCTTGCCGCCGAATAGTGATGAATGTTGGAAGTTCAGTTTAATATAATCCAGTCTGTGAATAGTTCCCTCTGAAATTAATGAAAATAGTTGTTTTAATGGTAAATGAGTCGGATATGTGGCGGATAATGTTAGATTTATCTAAAGGTTTTTATCTGTTACTGTTTAAATGAGTTTGGCTGTAATTTAAGGACAGATTCTAATATATCTGCAGAGAGGGGACTATAAATCTGATAGGATTTTTATCTTTTTATTGCTGTTTTGCTCAATGTGCATAACTAAGTGTTTTTTGTTGTTGGATATTAGAGATTTTGCGGATATATTTTTATACATACATTGTTTAGATTTACTTATATCTTTCTTCCCCTTTTATAGAATAGAAAATCCCTTTATTGTCCCATAATGGGCATATTTACAGCAGCAGAAGGATTATTGAAAATGGTCACACAAATGTGGACCTTAGAAAAATGTATAAGAATAACATAATAGGGAAGAGTTAAAAGATAAACAATAAAATACTGTAAAGCATTTTAACAATATAAAACTGGAGAATAAATAACCAATATGCAGCTATGGACATTTTTACAGTAATGGATATTTGAAAATAGCAGCAACATCAGAGATGTGCAGAATGACAGCAGCAGGTTATTTAACTGACTAAGGTTTCTATCATTACATATGATTTGATTTGTTCCTGCTCCAGGTGGTTGGCACCTTTATTCCACTCTGGATTCTTGTGAGTGTAGTCTTTGTTCACTTTACAATAAAAAAGAAATAAATAAACAAACAGTTTTGAAAACTTCTGTATTCAGTCTTTTCCTGTGTGTCACTGTCACGGTTGCTAAGCAACATAGCCTACGGCGGTAAAACTCACTGAAGGGTAGAAATTTTTGAATTCACAGCTAAAACTCTTCCGATCTCCTTATTTTCACGGACTTCGAAGGATCCAGTCTAGGTAGACCGCGACCTTGGAGGATGCAGCCCATTAATTCGAACAGACCCTTTTGTGAAAACAGGCTCAGATATCTGCTTCGCTGCGCGCGCCTACCTTGTTGACGTGCGCGTGCTCGCGCAGAGCCAGATCCCAGAACCTGCATCCGACCTGGTTTCCACACTGTCCGACTAGGGAGAAGATTTCAGTTTAGATATCAGAGCTTCCATGGAGCAAAGCAGTCCTTTAGGTCCGCTCACCTTGAACAATAACGGACTGAGTCATGGCAGCAGCGGCTCAGACCGGCCTGTAGCGTTAGCTAGCCCCTACAGGTTCATTTAGTTAGCACCCTGCAGACCGCAGCGGGTACACTAAACACTTTTGAAGGCTGTGGTGAGTCGCGCCCTCACTGTGTTTGGTCCTGTGCTGATGACATCATTACCATAGTAACCACCCCATTGGACGTTACCCGCGTCAAATGGGAGCGTCTACGTGCCTATAGGGCGGCCATCTTGGGTCAGACCGCAGTTCAGACGGCTGCTGTCAGAATTAATAGGAGGCGCCTTAGATCTAATTTTAATCACATGAAAGACAAGTTAAAGATAATATCACGATAATTTCTTACATGTCACAACCCTTTTAAAGTCCAAAACAACTTTTCAAGGACCTTCAATTTAGATTAGACACATTTATTCAGACCCAACCAATTTAAACTAAAGTCAAACTAGATGAGGTGAAAAAAATATATAATAATTAAACTTTATTGATCTCACATTGGAAAACTTTACCTCTGAATTTAACATCATCCGCCCAGGGAGCAGGGTGGGGTTTAGGGTCTCTTGCTCAGGAACCCAGAGTGGCAGTCTGTGAGAGTGGGTTTCGAACTCAGAACCTCAGCTTAAGCTCTATGCCCTAACGACTAGGTCACCACTCCCCTTAATATATACATACAGATATATAAACACAGATATATATCTATATATGTGTGTGCGTGTGTGTGTGTGGTAAATCTGGGCCTCTAAGCACCAGAGCAATAGAGGCTGAAATAGTGTACAAGAACATCAGTGCAGAGTATGGCTGGAAACCCCTAGGTCAAAGTGGGAAACACCTACAAAGATGGTAGAAAATGACCGAGCCAAGGTCCTGTGGGACCTCTAGATACAGACGGACCGAATAGTAACGGCAAACCCACCGTACATTGTGGTGGTGGACAAAAAGCAGAGGAAAGCTGTTAAAATAGCAACACGAAGTGACTGCAACACCAGAAAAAAAGAACATGAGAAACTAGAGAAATACCAGGGGCTCAGAGAAGAGCTGAAGAAAACCTGGAAGCTCAAGGCATCAGTGGTACCCGTGGTCATTGGGGCCCTTGGGGGAAAGGGCCCCCCAAACTGGAGGAGTGGTTACAGCAGAAAAAAACGGACATTAATTATTACAGTACAGTATAAATCTCTGTTATTTCTTTACATTAGGTTGGTCTATGGAAGCTATTTTCTTATTAGCTTTGTTGTCATTCAGAGATTAGTTAAATAATGAATACTTTTGTTTAATCCCAGTTTTTGAGTTTTATGAGTTTGAAGTTTTGTAAAAAACAAACAAATATTGAAAGGGAATAGTTGAAGGGAAGGCAGAAAGCAGAGACTTATCTGTGCAGATAAAATCATAGTAAGCACAAGGAAAAACAAAGCAAAGGTCTGATTGCCTCCAATTTTATTGGAAGAGACCTTCACTGATCCAATAGTGCCTGTGATGTTCACCGCTTTAAACACAGACAGTCTGGAGGAAGGAGCTGTGTCTGTGTTTGTTCTTTTTCGTTGTTGGCCCCTGCAGCAGCGACCTGGAGGTCTTAGCAGCCTCTGACCAGGTTGGCTGGGGTCAGCAGAGATGCTAGCTGCTCATCTGTTACACTGTTACAGCTCAGGGATGGAAGGAAGGTCAAACCCAATGATTCCCTGCAGATCTAATTGTTCATGTTTTTGTGAGTAAACTAAAAAAAACAGACAAGCCTTAATTGGGATGTAAAATATTTTTTATTCATCAGGTATAAAAAAAAATACAAAAATGAAACATTTTATCCTGATTTTTGTAATAGAAATCTGCCAAGTTAGAGACACTGAGAAAACTGAAACTTACAATGAAATAAAGTCTGTGTGTATTTTGTTCTGAGCTGATGAAGGTTATAACGTCTGCATTTTAAATTATTTCCACAGGATAAATCATTTTGAAATTTTTCCACTTATCAGATTTGAAAGGTTTTGGTCATTTTGTTGGACAAAGAATGTTGGACTGAATGAACACAATCTTATTGGGTGTATTTAATGAGTTTGGTCAGTGCTGTGATGGGGCTACTGATGACAAACAGCGTTATGCTGCAGGACAGCTTCCAACGCCGACAGCGCCGCTGACCAGAACCGCCTTGCTGAAGCTCACTGGGTTCTTGTTGATGGTCAGGTTCTTCATGCAGCCCACATAGGGCCTCCTGGTGGCCACGCTTTCTGGGAGGAAGAGATCTTAGAAGAAGAAGAAACCAGTTAGAACATGTTTGTTACAAAAGAAGGAGCAGCAGGAGCTGTGGCCTTACCTGGAGCTCCTCCAATAAATACGGGCCTCTTTGTGTCTGCAGAACGGGGGTTTACGGGTCCTACGACGTGTTGGATCTCAGAGTCCACATCCAGCTGAAGCACATTGGCATCCCGGATCACTGAGGGATCAAGAAACATTTATTTAGAGCAGCTGATTTATGCTGAAAACACAGGAAAAATACTGAATACAGAAAAGTAGGTATATTGCAATATTCTCCTGGAAGTTAAATAATCATACAACAAAAAGCTTTTTCTAATAAATACATCCAGATAATATAAACATCTTCTGCTGTTGGGCCATGCGTCTGTGGAGAGGCTGTTTGGTTTCTCCAATATAAAGATCAGAGCATTCCTTCTTACATTTCTGATATTTTGAATTGAAAAAGCTTCCTGGATGGGAAGCGAAATGTTTTCAAACTTGGAAACAAAGTCCAGTGGATTGTTTTTTTTTTAAACTTTTTTTGGAATGACTATGACCTGGATGACTGAGAATCTTCACCAGCATGTTATCCTCATGGACTGACTGCTTAGTTTGTATTATATAAAGTACCAGTAAAACACTTCATATAAATTTTAACATTATAATAAACTTGCAAAGGGAAAGGGATGAGAATTTAAGGCACTGCCTGTCAGCCAAAGCATCCTTTCCTCACCTGTGATACTGTGCCAGGTGCCGTCACACACGCCCTGCCTTGGTGATACTTTAGTAGAGAACTCATGTGTGCCGTCGTTGACAACAACGACCACCTGGAAGAGGGAAACATGCAGCGTTTTGATGGACTGACCAGAAGGAGCCAGCGTGTTCTCAGGGTACCTGAGTTAGGACTCACCGCTCCTTGATGAATGTACATGATGAAATAACCCTCTGCAACCCGCACGTGAAGTAGCACGGCTGACGCCACACGCGGTCGCACTTCCATCACTAACTCGAACCTCAGGCCCAGCTCGAAGGATTCATCTGAAGGGATGAAATATTCAGCATGTGAACAGATGTGTGGGATGTCTGGGCCCAGACCTCAGCCTGTGAGCATGTGAGCAGTCAGTCAGTTCGTTCAGCTTCTATCTAACCCAGATGGAGACATAATAGGGATATCTCTACCCTGTCATCGCCTTCCTCTCCCCCTAGAGCTGTAAGGAAATCAACATATTCCACCCAGCTACACATGTTTTGTGGCAAATAAAAACCATGCTAGGTGGGTTATCTGGTTTTGAAATCAACAAAATCAAGGTCCTCACTTGAAGTAAAAAGTATTTACACCCTTGCAGATGTTTCTAGACTGGAAAAAATAAAAATCTAGATAAGTAATTCTACATATGATA